ACACACACACACACACACACACACACTCCTCTCTTATTTGTACACGTACACTCGTACGCCAAGCCGAATCGAACGGTTAGAATGCAACCGAGATGCAACATAGTCTTATACGTATGACATATCGGAGGCCGAGAGGCCGCGTATTCATTCTACCGACGCTCCTGCCACCGCGTGAACCGCGATGAATGAACGAGTACGCGCGGACATACGTGAGCGTATGTTTCGAGAGCGTGTACCAACTCGAGCCTGGGGCGCATGCCTTAGGTAATAATAGCGTCTGACAATTTTGGATAAAAGTGTGCTTCGCCTGTGGCCTAACCACACAGCCCTCTAATGGGGCACACTAATTTCGTAATTAACCGGCCGGGAGGCGTGTTCAATGAAAAATGACGCGCGAGCTTCCTTTTAACCATGGTGTGCGCGCGCGTCGACGTATTTCATGGGAAAGTTTATTTTTCTTGGAGTAGAAAGCGGAACTTACTAAACTCTTCGGACGAAAGCGTGTTTGTTGAAATAATTACGCGAAATATCATTAGTGAAAATTATCTCGATGGCTCTTTTTTCAACGGCTATAGGTGTCGAACGCGTGTTATTAACGAACGAATGTTCCCTAAAAATATGCCCGAAATACGTGTGACGATATACATATACAAGTAGATGCACTTGAATGCAGTCGAACCGAGAGGGAGAATACACGCCAAGGTGTACGAGGTACGCATTCCAATGGGCGGGTTATCAGAGACGGATCCATCCCACCTTCCATGCTGGAATGCATTTCTGTTCTTTTTTCTTTCTCTCGCTTTGAGGACTTAAGGCTCGTTCATACGTGCAGTACATGGATCGAAAAAAACATGGACAGGGAGAGGAGGGACCGGTCAATGACACTGGTTTTAATCGGACCAAATGAAAGGGAACGCGCTCGATGGAAATAAGTCACCGATACTTTCGCGTCTTCGTCTCCGTTTCTATCTCGCTGTTAACGTTGTGCCGTTATGAATTTCATTGCGATCGAATAATTCTGCTAATAGAGCACTACGTGTCAAAAGAAGAAAAAAAAAACGATAAAAAAAAAGAATTCCATTGGAAGAGATTCCAAAGGAATCTGAAAGAAGAGATTCTATCATACACACGGTAAAAAAGAAGAATTCCATTAGAAGAGATTCTATCAGAATTACCGATTGAGCATTAACTTTGAAATACGATCGAATAATTCTGTTAATAGAGCAGTATATGTAAGGCACACGATAAAAAGAAGAAGAATTCCATTAGAGATTCCAAAGGAATTTAAAAGAAGAGATTCTAGGGAATTCTATTAGAATTACCGATTGAGTATTAACTTTGAAATACGATCGAATAATTCTGTTAATAGAGCAGTATATGCAAGAAGAATTTTATTAGAAGAGATTCCAAAGGAATTTGAAAGATTCTAAGAGAAGAGATTCTATTAAAATTACCAATTAAGTAATAGAGTTTAAAAGAAACCCTTTATAGATTCTCCTTGGTGAGAACTTGAAGAAGCTTGGAAGCGTTCGTCGAATCTCTTTGATTATCTCGCGACTACATGGTTTTTACATAGTCGTGGCGCGTACGTTGATAAACTTGTCCGCCGCATTCGCAAATATTCGCGGCCATTCTAATTCTAATTTCGTCGATTGTGGTTCGCGGCCACCGTGGAAAAGAAAGAAAGTTAACGGCAGCCTCCGTTTGTCCTAAGCTGGAGCAGAGGAAATAGAGAGTGACGTCAGGCCGAAATTATTGGTCTACGTTCGATCTGGGCTTATCTTTTCAAACAAACTGCACACGATTCTATTCGCGCGCGAGATGTAACAATATACGTATACATACGACCGAGCCGAGTCTCGCGTGTAGCCAAGTCGTAAACCTCCTTCTACGGAAGGCTGAATATCGATGACGTCTATATGCCTCCGTAGTCCGAAGGTTCCACGATTTTTCGCAATGGAAAACGATCGGCTGTGTGAAAAAACATTCCGATCTCCGCTAGGCTTTCCCTCCGTTCCCTTTCCTTTCCTTGAGGAAAATCGCTCTAATTGCGACGAAATACAGCCTTTCAACGAGAGAATCAGCAGGTCGATGAATGTATGAAAATGAATTTGACTCTGTCTCTCTCTCTCTCTCTCTCTCTCTCTCTCGGAGGCATGCACGATTGGACTCGATGACACATTCGAACCGGAAGTGCGTCGATGCGAGTCACAATGAGTCCTTGTCGGACTCTGAGAGAGTCGTCAGCACAGGGAAGTCAAATGAGTGAAGGATCGAACTGGCAAGACGCGCCAGTCACTCTTGTCGATGACGCGCTCAGAATGAGCTCACCTCGCTTCTTCGTCAGCTGATAAAGAAAGCAACGAAGCAGCGCGAGCATAACATCGCCGATTAGAATTATCGCGGCGTTTACGCGTTTTCCATTCGACGTTCGTCTTCGATGGAAGCTCCAATGACACACGGTGGTAATACAACACCGGCTGTCTTAGCAAACATGCAAATGCGGAAATGAACGAACTGGTTTTTTTTTTTAGTTTTTTTTTTTTTTCTTTTTTTCAATGCAGTAACATTTTTCTCGGAGAAGAAGTTTTGATAATGTCGTAATCGTGACGCGATCACGATGACGGGAGGGGTGTCGTATTACCCACGAATTCACGAGGTGCTACTCTAGCAGAGGCAAACATACGGGAGAAGACTGATTTCTGGTCAGACTTTTGGCAAATTTCCCGCAGCTGCCTCCCACTGTGTCTCTTCATTCCCGAAATCGAATCGGCATTTACGATGGCGCTTCTAAATCTTCGACTTCGTCATCGAGATACAATTTCACTCTGCCTTGTCTGGCCTTTCCTCGTTTGCCTCGCTGACTACGCGAAAAAAATCCACGTATAG